CCTTCACAAATTGTTGTCTTTGTATTGTAACACCTGTTCTGAAACTCTTACATCTTGCTCTTGAAGCAAACACGAAAACAGATGGAAACTAAACTGAAGTGAGCAGACATGCTTGGGGAAACTACCGAAACTGAATTCAAAACAAAAAGTCAGAATAGAAGAAAAACTGATCTGAAAATACGAAACTACATTAACTCAGTGAGTAATTCAGTTGAAGCCTGTATGTGCTGTTACAGGCCTGTATTAAATCATATCATTAGCTGCTTTAGTACATTTCTATGAAGTAGTATTTTTTTTTTTTAAACAGACACATAAGTTTAAATGAAACTTATCATAAAGGGTTATATTCAGCCTATGAATCCTGAATAGACTCAGAAAGTTGTGATATTTTTGAAGTGGTTATTCAATTTAGCTTAACAAGTGCATCGGGTAGTTTTAACTCCCAGGACACGATAATTGCTCTTTGTGACCTCTCTCACTTAGAGCTGGTGTTGGATTAAACACAGAAGTCTGCAGACTGAAATTAGAATCTACAGTGCAAAAGTCTTGATTACCACTTATCCTTTATATTTTGCTTCCAAGGTGCCAGATTTTGTTGTAGTTTTTAAAGCGGTCTGGAGTAGTAATTCTCCAGGCTGTCTGAAGGTCTTTCAAAGTTGTTGCTTTTAGACATTGGCTGCTTTTTCACTCGTTTTCAAACCAGTCTTTAAACCTGACTATTTTCAGTTGAATGAGTTTTGCATATCCAGTCTCTTACCACTGACCTATGAATCATATGTCAAGCATAAAAAAAGCACCTAACTCAAATGAACCATGTTGTGTCAGACAACAAAGAATTAGCTTTAGAACCTTTGTTAGCAGCCTGTCTCAAAAACACGATTTTTCCCCCATTTATTTAGTTGAATCTATGAAAAATCCCAAAGAAGACAGACATAAAATGGTATTAAAGTCATTAGCTGAAAACTTCAGCATGATGTGCAGTGTGTCTTTAAAAAAAGTCACTGGAAACTGAACAAGTGGGGGACAAAAGAAGTGGAAGTCCTAAAAACCTTAAAACAGTCTATACCAGATGAACAATGATTTAAAGTCCTTCAAATAACAGGAAGACATCCAAAAAATACCTGATGCAGAACTGAAAGATGCATTTAGCCCTTCAGATGATTCATCTAGCCCACATTTTCGGCTGCATTTCAGCCTGTGGTGTTGGGATTTTGTCAAATGAACACAGAAAAGTACCATCAGATTTTGATCTGCCATGGATCTGATTGGCAACAGCTTAATTTTTAATGCCTTAATTTTTCCAGCATGACAGTGATCCCAAACATCCAGAGAGGTCCTTCAAGAACTATTCCTGAAGACTACTTAAAGTATGAGAACACTTCCTCAGAGAGTTCAGGCAGTCTTTAAAAATAAAGGCAGTCATATGAAATATTGATTTTCAAGCTCACTAGAAACTCTGCTTTTGCTTTATATATTGTATGTTTGGATGTTTTTCAACAAATCACTGAATCTATTTCCCATTTTCCTAGTAAAATATAAAGAAAATGAGTGGCTGAAGACTTCTGCACAGCACTGAAAGGTAAAAGTGGTTTGTTCTGCCAACGTGCAGAAGCTTTGACAGTTAACTAAAGATGAAACTGCTGCTGGCTTTTACCAAATATAGAAGGTCTCTGATGTGGGTTTTAGGTGAGTGTCAAGTATGTAGATCACAGAGGTCAGGTCAAACCCAGGTCACCACCGGGGATGCCATGTTCCAGATTTTTCTGCACTGGGTCAGCATCACTTTGGAAAAAAAGAACAGTGCTGATCATCATGGTTGCAGTATGAGCAGGAAAAAAAAGATTAAATACATGCATGAGTAACAAGAGGGCGAGCTGTCAATTGTTTAAATGTTGTAAATGCACTAAATCAAAGCAGGGAACTTATAAGAAACTGGAAATCCAATATGTGTTCAGCATTTATTATTTAATTTTATTATGATTTTATTTAAGTCATTTGTAGTTTTAGGCTCTTGTTATGCACTCAGCTGTTAACAAAATGTGTGTCAGTCTTCTTAAAATACTGGGGTGATGGGGTGTGGAGCATTGGCGACCTGCAGAGTGAGAATCATTCCAAGGATGCCTGAACGCTGGGCAGAAAGACAAATCTGGTCAATGAGCACTTAGTCACACAGTCACTGTGCATGTGTTTGCACGAAAAATTTTAAATCATGACAACTTCATATAAACTGGCTTTTTGTCAAGAAACCAGTGAATCAAAGTTATAATTTCCAAAACAGCTGGATTTGTACATGCTCAAACAACAAATTCCAAATTCAGGCAACACTAAATCCATTGAGCTAGCTATAAATGTTACTGTATAGTATAAATGTTAATCATTCATCTCACTCAATCTCATTGTAGATATCGTGTCAGTGTAGCATTCAATGCTACAAGTCATTTATGATATGGTAAGCATATTAAACATGGTTTTATTGCATGCCGTTGAAATGAATAATGAATATCAAGGACACAGTCCTCGAAGGGTTTTGTTAATAGTTGCCAAATATGCAAAAACTGATCAGTTCGATTACAATGTTGAGTTTGTGTTATTAGAAGTTTGTAAATTACTGAAGCACATATATGATTGAGTTCAGTTTGAATGTAAGTAAACATTGCTCATTGATTTGACCACCTGTCTTCACAATATTATAATAAATCTTGTTCAGGGGTTGCCACTATCATCTGCCCCCCTCTCTCTCAACAACTCTCTCCAAGTCCTCCTTCACTCCATCATCTCTTTTTTCACCCACCATCAGGTCCATCTTCAACATCATTTGTCTAATTTCCTCTGCAGTTATTTTTTCTCTGCACAAATACGCATGTCAATTTAAAAAAGTTACATATAATTTCAAAACCATTTCCATCTAAAAAGTTATTTCACACTTTACTAAAAATTAAAAGGAAAAATAATCCTGGTTCATAGCGAGCATTTTCCCCAGGTAATTTGCAATAGCTACTCCAAGACTACTGCAAAAAAAACCCACAGAGACCAGCTGGGTTCACTGACAAGTAGATTGGTGCAAGAACACAGTGATTGAATTACAGGCGTTTACAAAGTGAGCATGAGTCCAGCGCCATAATCAGAGGTATTTCCAGGGTGCTTTACATGGGGACGTGGCAAAGGGAGGATCAAGAAGTGGTCAGCCCTGCTCTGAATCCCCACTGCTGTTGACGATGTCACTTTTTGCATATATGCTTCTGTGTGGGCCTCATCATAAGAAATGCTGAGCTAAATATATGGTGGACTTGGAGCTCATGAAAGGTTTACTCGATAGAGAAAAGTCTTCAGAACAACTGAGTGTATACACACCGTCAGAGCTATGAAAGCAGCACATATACACACTGACAGTGTATCAGCTAATGCATTACTAGTGCATTAGCATAATGAACAAATGAGATACAATTACAGCATAACACACTGCCTCATGGGGCCATTATCCTTGTGCTAATCGATATACTGTGTTTACACTCCACATTACTACCATAGCTCCATATTTTAGTGGTTTACACAGTTACTTTGCAAAAAATTTGCTAGTTCAGCTGCACGTTGTGTCAGGAAGAAAATGTAGAGTTAAAAAAAAAAATCAAAACATGAAGAGCTATCTGCCTGAGACTCCTTGTGACAAGGAAGCAGCTCAAATTAGCTTTCTATTACTAACCACCATATTCTTTTAGCAATCTTTTGCAAACAGGGATTGGGCTGCCAGGGCCTCCTTCAATGACAACCAATCAATCCAACCTCTACAGGCCTGTTCAGGGTGGTGGGCTGGCTTAGCTCTGTGGGCTTAGGCCTGAACAGCAGACGCTCACCCTTGAACCCCAGGACAGGTTAATTTTGTCCCTTGCTTTCCTCATTGACAAGGTTGCAGCACACCTCTCAGGGCAAGCAGAAGGTACAATCCACTAGACACCAGTCCAAGATGGAGACAGTCATACATTCACTTCACAAGGTTCTGCAGTAGTGATAAATTTGAGAACCTGACCGATGCAGATAGAGGGCGAAGAGCAAACTCCAACAAGGAAGCTTAAATAAAGAACCTTCTCACTGTGAGGTGACAACACAAACCTGCACCTGTGCTTGCTTAAGCCATGTTTTACAAAAATATACATTTCTAAAAAGATTACCTTCTTTCTGAGTGTTAAACAACTGAACTATGCAAAAATATTAACATTTAGAGACAGTTAAGGAAACTTCTTTCCTTTTACAGTTTTTTTCCTTATAGAACCTCCTGTACATACTTTTATTGTGACCTTTTTTTGTCTAATTGTAGTTAAATTGTAACTAACATTTGTTTATTTCTATCAATTACACTTTACAACTACAGCTTTAAAGTTTAAACCTCAGCCCAGGTTTAAACAGTTAGCGAAACAGTTATAAAAGAAAAAAAAAGTATTCCACATTTATAAACTGCAGATATCACAGCTGGAATCATGCGAGGGACAGATGTTTACACTTATAGTTGTCTTATTTTAAATACATCGTTAATTATTAGCGTTAGGACGCAACAGTGGCCACTTTTTTCCAAAGCTTGTTTTGTTGGTTTTCATGGTGACGCCTGTCCACGGAATGGTCTAGAAAACACGCTGGCGACAGGAAGCAATTTCAAAGTCGTGGTGACTGACTAGAAAAACTCGGCAGTTGGCGTCCGTGGACAGAACACGGGGCCGTGCATGTCTGGTGGGCTGTGAGGGGAAGGAGAGGCGTTATTCAATCAAACCTGAATAACTCAACGGTTCGCCTGCAGCCGCAGCGTGAACTGCAGAGCTTTTTGGGGCTTCTCCACTTCACGTTGTGCTTTGCAACGTGACCGCTGTTATCCAGTCCTCTGTTACGTCGACGGGGCGCTTGGCTCCGCCCTCACCAGTGTTCTGAAAGTGTGTCACTGGGTTAAAGTGGCTCGAGCAGCCCTGGCGGAGGGGCGTGGCTGACAAATGGGTCACATGGGCGAGCCCACTATTGAGAACATTTAGTTCTCTCCACGAACCCGCAGTCACAAACACGGCGAAAAAAAGAGGGGGGAGTTCCTCCCGATTCAGCTGCCTATACTCGACCTGCTCTTTCTCAGACGCGCCTTCATGACTCACCGAGTTGGACCTGCAGAATTTTTCCGAAATAGAAGCTCGATGTGAGCTCGTGCACCGTCTTTGACTATCAGAGTTCAGTACCATTCGTTGATCTGTGAAGTGGCAGAATAAATCCTGATAGACTGTGCGAGTTAGTCAGATATCTGTTGGACATTTTTTTTTTAAATTTTCTTAATTCATTGATCAGAGATGCCTGAGGACATTGGGACAGCCAAGCCTGGTAAGTTTGTTTTTCTTTAATAGTTAAAGTAATAGATATTTAAGCCTGTCACAACCATTGCATGCACTGTGCAGAGACGCTACTGCTACTACTACTGCTGCTGTGTTTTTTGATTAACGGTGTCAGCTGCTTTTAATATATTTATTACAAAAAAGTTTATTTATATGGGCTTTTGACGGTTGTGGATGGGCTTCCCATTAAAGGTATGCGTGACATTGACTTGTACTTGTGTGTACTTGTGTGTCATGCACTTATTTAGTGAATAATAAGGAATTTAAAGTGTTTTAAACAGCAGGAGGTGAATGAATGGCGTCCTAGCGAGTGGACAGTATTTTAACGCAATAATCAGACTTAACGTTTGAACACCATCGTGTTTTTTCTATAGACTTGTGTTACGTTAAGTTGTCGCAGGTTTTAAAGTGTGCTAATAGACGTATTTTCGCTGTATTACCGTGTTTTAAAACGAGGTTAGGAGTGCCACTGAGGCGCTGCGTCGTTTACATTTGACACAACAACAGTGTTCCACTTCCCCGAGCCCTCTCACATGGACAGCGTATCCTGGCCATGTGCCTCTGTGTACACGCTCCCAGGGAACACTGCTCTGATTGGTCGAGGGGCGTTCCCTTCTTGGGCGCACGCTTCGGCGGTGCTCTACTCCGATTGGTCGGGACGAAGCCCGTGACGTAGGGTGTTGCACAATCCACTCCGAATGCGGCTCTCCTGGCGCGAGGCTCTCTTGCTGGGTACACGTGAGCCGGGGAGAAACAGCAGCGAGCTGACCTAGATTTTTTTTCCTGTCTTCTTGGCGTTTCGCTTTCACAGAAATTCATGACAGGTCCACGTGTGGGAGGGCCGTGAAAGAGAGCAGTCATGGCTCGGGTTAGGTAATCGTCTGCCGCGGCCTCTGGCACTAAGGGGCTTTTTAAAGAAAGGGTTAATGAAGAAAAACAGTTTAGCTTTCACGCAGGTATTCCAGTAAACCCCGACTCTTCACACGTACACGTTATATTCGTGGAAATTTCCCAAGTATGTTTGGCAGGGGCGTTTCGAGGAGTTTATAGACGGGATGGCACTGGTGTGACCCAGAATGACTTAGCGCAGACGGTGCTGTGTGAGAAGTAGCACAACACACAAGTTTTTTTTAGTTGTTTTTTTTTTTGTAAACGTTTTGAATATCTGCCACCAGTCATACTCAGTACTACAACACACAGCTTCAAAGTATATTTATAAGGTACATGAAGTAAGAAGTAGAAGTTACACAGAATTATACAATATTGGCTCTTAACTAGCGACTAGTTTTATACTTTAAAACTTTTAAAGTTAGTGGCATAAAAAGGCCATGGGCTTCCAAACTGAAGGGTCTCTAGAGCTTTTACAGAAGACCCGCAGATGCAGTTTTCTCAGTAAACCGTGTTTTTGAACTTGATCTTACAAAGCATGTTTGGCATTTAACATCCGCATCACCCTACTTCCCATTCATTCACTTCAACAAACTGGCGTTTACCCTGAGGGAATTAACAGGTTATTTGAAATTTGAAAGACTTTACTGAACACTTTAAGCAGACCTGTCTGTGGATCTGTTGGCATAAAAACTGCGGGGCTAAAACACGGGGCCAGCCCGCTGAGATTTTCTTGCTGAACATGTCATTACGTAACACACGGTGGATGTTTTCCCTTTGTGTTACTTGCCTCCTACACGTGTTGCCTTGCTCTGGTGCTTCACTGACCCCTCTAGTCGTTAAGTCATTGGAGCACGCTCCCATGGCACAGAGACCCAGGCTTGTTATGTAACAGTGTTATCCAACCAGCAAGCATTGGAGGTGATAAAACAGGTCATCACAGTGTTGAATAAGCCAACCGGGAACAGCACATGCTAGACTGCTGTGCTGCCTGGGTGTGTCAGAGGCACCTGTTTCTACTGTAGATGTTTATGTTATTGTTTTATTCCCGTTACCGTTTCTGTTTCACAATAAGAGTTGGCACGCTTGATGTTTTGTATGTCAGAAAGACAAATATCTGGATCTGCTGATATGGCTGCAATGCACCATAATTCTTGGTATCAGGTTTACATGGAAACGGGCTATCACAGGTCCACAGATAGCAGTGTTTACCTTGTGTGTTTGCCCTGGTTCACTTTTGTGTTAGAATTAGGGTGGACCACCACCGCCCAAAGGCTATTCTGACAGGCAACGTAAGCAAAAGTTGTAGGTTACAGTGAAAATAATGCTGAAAGCAAAATCCACCTCAAATGCCGTATGAACATTTACATTAGCCAGTTTTTTTTATATGCATCTCTGCACAGGCCAGTGAAGAAAGCCATTGTATTGGAATGAATTTAAACAGCAGTACATTAAAGCCATTTTGCCTCGAGAATCCTAAGGATAATGTTGCTTCTTGTTGATTTTTCCAGGCCATATTTTGCCCATGTGTGTATTAGAACAACAGCAGTAAGTTGCGTCTGAATTTCTATGTTGAGAAAGACTAAATTCATGGTTTTCGGATGGAGCAAGTATATAAGTAAAGAGCCTTTCCCTGATTTTAAAGTGACCCTCTTGTCCTCTTTCTTTCTGTCTGCAGGAGGTGTAATTGCCTATATTTCCTCCGGGTCTGCCCCCAGCCCAGAGTCCTGCATGAGCAGCAGCTCCAGCAGCGGCTACCTGTCGATGTCACCAACTCCTTCCCGCCCCTCGCTGCCTAGCAGGGCCGTAGGCATGGTAGTGGATATTGCTCCACCAGCCAAGAACGGCAGCCCGCGGGGACACGGCGGTGAAAAGGCCGGCCGCTCATCTGCGTCTTCAAAGAGCAGCATCACAAGTAAGCACTAAAGCCTTCATTTTATGATCAGCACGCTTATTTATGTGTCACATGTGGTGAACCCCTGTTCATCTTTTTCTTTAAAGAAATCAACGGCATGGTGCTGCTCTGCAAAGTGTGCGGGGATGTGGCGTCAGGCTTCCACTACGGTGTCCACGCTTGCGAAGGATGCAAGGTGAGACGCATCCCTAGAAGGATTCATTTAAAATTAAATTCACATCCTCTTGTGCACATGGCTCATGCTCAACACTGGGGGATCTTGGGAAATTGTTTTTAGGGCTTCTTCAGGAGGAGCATCCAGCAGAACATCCAATATAAGAAGTGTCTAAAGATGGAGAACTGCACCATCATGAGGATAAACCGCAACCGCTGTCAACAGTGTCGCTTTAAGAAGTGCCTGGCTGTTGGGATGTCTAGAGATGGTGAGAGTTAAGATTTATTTACATTCAGAAAGCAAAAAACACCCTGTGATTTATGTTTACGCTAAAAGCTTAGTAAACTTAATGACTGGTTCTCTCTCAGCTGTTAGATTTGGCCGTATCCCAAAAAGAGAAAAACAGAGGATGCTGCTTGAGATGCAGAACGCCATGAACAACATGATGAGCAACAACAGCCAGTTGCACAGCATGCTCCAAGGACACCAGAGCCCCCCGCTGCCAATGGAGGCCATGACAAGTGACTCCAACTCCTTTCCATCCTCTTCCTCCTCTGCTTCCGATTCGCCATCGTGTTCCAATCCGTCCTCCCCGCAGTGCCCTCAGGACTCAGAGTCAGTGGTTTCTATGGACACCACCTCAAGCTCATCCTGCTCATCGGACAGCGGTGAGGACGAGGCACTTGTCACACTGAACAGGCAGCACCAAGATGCCTTAGCGTTCACCCAGCAGAGATCACCAATGCAAGGTCAGACCTCACCAGCCACAGTCTCCGTGGAGATGGGGTGTGAAAGACGATTGGAGGAGCAGCAGGATAGGTGGAACTGCTGGAACAACAGCGTGGCGGTGAGAGATTACCAGAACTGTCCTTACAGCAGCGGCCAACACGTCACCAACCCGGCCTACAGGGAGGAGAGGGGAGGTTGCCAGCAGCAGCTCAACAGCACCCCTAGCTGTGAACAGTCAGAAGACAGCCAAAGACAACAGACAGAGCTCCACACACAACCTGCCTCACATGGTTATAATGGACCAAACAGCTGTGTGAATAACAGGGCACACTTGGTGAGTGATTTCATTTCTCCCTCTTTGAAAATCTTCAGAGTCCAATGAAAAGAAAAGCTGGATTAATTTTCATCACACTGACATCTTTCTTGTTTGTTTTTCCAGCTGTGCCCGATGAACACCTCACCTTACGTGGACCCCAGCAAGCCCAGCCAAGAGGTTTGGGAGGAGTTCTCCATGAGCTTCACACCAGCTGTGCGAGAAGTGGTCGAGTTTGCCAAAGTGATCCCGGGCTTCCGCGACCTACCCGAGCACGATCAAGTCGGCCTGCTGAAGGCTGGAACCTTTGAGGTAAGAAGGCAAACAGACTGAACACAAACACTCGTGTTATTTTGTCCTCGCTTTGAAGTCAGACACTGCAGGCTCGTTAATACCAGGAATACAGGAGCCACAATACAGGTGCACACAGGCAAATATTTGTTCTGATAACAGTTGGGATAGAAATGAAAGAGGCTTATCGAATCTTCTGTTTCAACTGTGTACCAGTAAATTCTTGTCAGATTCTTCGAGGAGCTGAACCTCAGTTAATTTAAAGAAAAAATTGATACAGTGCAAAGTTGCAGATTCTTGGTCATATACCAACTACAGTATGCAGTGAAATGACCCTGCTCTTAAGTATGGTGCCAAAGGTTTAAAGTGGGATGAGACTATGAGGCATTTATTACATTATAAAGTGAGAAGTGCAGTTATTCGTATATTTCTGTTGGCTTGATCAAAGTCTTTGTCATGGTCTAAATAATTCCCGTCTTTGCTTCCAGGTGCTGATGGTTCGATTTGCCTCTCTGTTCAACATCGCCGAGCGGACGGTGACCTTCCTGAGTGGCAAACGCTACAGCCTTGACACACTACGCTCATTGGGTGCCGGCGAGCTCCTCAACTCCATGTGCGAGTTCAGCGAGAAGTTGGCGGCGCTGCGGCTCAGTGCAGACGAAATGAGCCTCTTCACCGCTGTGGTGCTTGTCTCAGCTGGTGAGTAACATACACCATACATATATGGACAACAGTTTAACAGCACAACTAGCAGTATTATCACAACGGAAGGAGTTCTCCAGTAATAATGCACTCTCTCTTTGTCGTCTTTGTTCCGGCTCAGACCGCTCAGGGATCCAGGACCTAATATCAGTGGAGGCTCTGCAGGACAAACTTATCCGAGCACTGAGGAACCTGGTGATGCAGAACCACGGCGACCAGTCGGCCACCACATTCACCAAGCTGCTGCTCAAACTTCCTGAACTGCGCTCGCTCAACAACATGCACTCAGAGGAACTACTCTCGTTCAAAGTGCACCCTTAAAAAGCTTCCTGAGCGGGTACTCGTGTAACTTCCACTTCCTCCACACACACCTTCACCTGGACCTGCCTCTTACCGTGCCCTCTCAGCCCCCCCCCTTTCCCTGCAAACTGACCAACCCAGTTGTGTGTTTGTTTCTAGAATGTATGAAACTGTTTTGTTTTTTTATTCTATTTTTGTGGAAAAGAGAACAATTAAAAATGTACTGTATTTATAGACGACGTAGCTTACGCTTGTTGCACACAAACACACGCAAGTGCTCGTGTGTCAGAGGTTTATAGTTTTGCAGTTCGATGCAGTTTTCTATTTTTAAAAGCACGAAGAGTATTTAACTGGCTTAATGAGAATATAGAATAGAAACGAATTAGTCCATGATATTGATTATTTTTTAACATGTTTCCTCCAAAAGCCATTTAATTCCAAAGTGTATTCTCTAATGAGCGGGTGAATGTGAGAGATTTTATATATATATCTATATGACATATACTGTACCTTACACACATTTTGACTGCTACATGTTTGTTGAAGAAAACAAGCTATCAGAAAAATATTGAAAATTGTGTGAAGATTGCTGCTAATGCATGGCTGTATTAATGCAAAACTACTATTATCCCCCCCCCCCCCAAAAGCATCTGTTCAGTTAATTGACTCGCTAAATCTACAGTTATATGCTTTGTGTTTAAATTTGGTTGTCATACTCATGTCCATGCCAACTGCTGGTTCACCTTCCAGTGATTTCTGGGCAAAGTCAATAAGACTATTTGAAGCAAAAACACTACATTTGCACTTTTGGGAGAGAGGAATTTTTTTTTTTTTTTTTTTTTAAATGTATGTATGCTTTCAGCACACAAATGTTTTTGCCTTTTTCCACCAAACTGTTTTCAGCCCAGCACTCAATTTGAATTTGTTTTTGTCAGCCGTTTTGTTAAAATGTTTCTTCTACTGGCAGCACTGCCACCTGTAAATAAATATAAATATCTGAGGAATATAGAATATAAATATGATATAGTATAAATAAAAACAATGGAAGAATAATTTGTGTGTGTGGTTTTTTTTTTTTTTTTTTGGTTTTTTTTTTTTTTTTTTTAAATAAAAAAAAAAAAAGGTTTTATACTGTACATGTCCAGAAATTTTGGGGATGTAATGGTTGTTATCTACCACTAGATGGAGCAATGTGCACATGGTGTCTCTATTTAAACATGGAAACATCACTCTTGAAAAACAAAATGTTATTTATCCTAAAAGGAACTGCTGCCAAAGTGCCTCAGGTAGGAACGGAGACAGTAATTAAGCAATGAAATATTGTAGACTTCACCCCTGACTGAAAAAGTCTGGCCTGAAGGGCAGCTTCAGAACTCAAGCACTAGATTCATAAAGGTAAGGGTCCATAAAGTAGCAGAGAATGTTGCAAAGAAAAAAATAACATTGTAATTTTTTAATTAAACCCCACATCGACTCATAACTTAAACTTCACATTAGAGCCACAAGGGGGCGAACCACTACATCAAGACGACATAGGACCTTAGAGATGCCCTTTAATTGATCTACAGTCCACTGAATCCTCATCAAAAATGGAGTCTATGGAAGTGTGGCTGTCAAGAACCCATGTTTTAAGAGGCAGTTTTTCATGATTTTGTTGGATAACACACAGTGAAGATTAGACAGGAAAGCATGGAGTCAGGGATAGCACACAGCAAAGGGCCTTGGGTCAGACTCAAATCCAGGCTGGTACATCGCCTGATCAACCTAGTGAGATAAACTGGCACCCAAGAATCCATTCTTAAAGAAGGAAAAGACAGTGGAGGCTCTGTCATGGCCTGGGCTTCATTTCAGCCTGTGGCTTCTAATGAATGCAGAAAAGTACAGTCAGATTTTCATCTACCAGACAAAAACAACTAGAAAGCACCAGACTGGCAGCAACTTCATTTTTCAGCATGACAATGATCCAAAACACAATGCTAAAAGAATACCTGGATAGAAAACAATTACCATGGATCACCATTACTAGCCTCCCAAGAGCCTGGACCTCAACATTATTAAAGCAGTGTGGGGTGGAGAAAAGAACTAAAGACATCCAACATTCAAAGAAAAACTTTGAATGTCCTTCAAGAAGCCTGGGGAACTATTCCTGAAGACTACTTAAAGAAAATTCAAGAAAACTGGCAAAGAGAGTTCAGGCTGCCAAATTTGGATTTTTAAGCTTGAGTAGTTTCAAATCTGAAACTTAAAGTTTTAAAAATAAATAACCTTGAACACAAAGTACGATACTTTAATTCAAAATACAGTTGAATAGAAGTAGAAAGCAGCATGACAGAAATATACATGAGGTGCAATCAACCTGTACTTTAGCAAAATAACTGAGTGGGTTTTTAGGTATAATTTAAAGATTAAATTGTTTTATTGTATCAATATGTTGTTTATTATGAGGTATTGTGTAGACATTTACAATAATTTAATATATGTAACGAGATAACGCAGTGTGTCAGGGCCAGACAGTTTGATCGTGCAGCTGATTATCCTAAACTACCAGGATTTTTCTTATTCTTACATTCAACCACTGACGTTTTGTGGTCCAAACATTTGAATGAATCATTAATGGAGGTTTGAAGCTTTCGAGTTGCTTGAATGTTTTGTCAGTGCTCAGGTACCTGTGTAATGACAATCACAAACAATGAAATATCTACCATGTTTTAGGAATGAGGAAAACTCAATGTAAGCGCACATTTTTACAAGGAAACTCCAGCTTTAATCTATATAGTACAGTAATTGCACAACACCTAAATTCTTGAGAGAGAAATATGCTTAAGAGAGCTTAGATATATGGCGATTTTATGTTGAAGCTAATTTGAATGTTGTAGCTTTCTTTTTTCTTACGTCTGAGCTGGCATTGTGCAACCCTTTGGATTTGAATGATACCTCAAGGGAGCTTTGAATGCAAACACACACAGAAAAAAGCTCAACCAAGCAAACAAACAATTAAAAAACGAATTAAGAAAAAACAAACAAGCTCCACACTCATTTTTACTCATTTTATTAATGATGTTATGTCCTCAGGCTCATTCATTGATATGCATTTATTCAAAAGTAAAAATTTCCATCACACTTTTGCAAGTCTAAGATTTTCTGTGTTCATTCATAACTTTTCTTGCTGTGAGGTATTTGTTAAATTCTAGTTCATCAAGTAATAATTCAGTGCTCTTTCCCACCTTGAACTTTCAAGGGATACGATAACTGACCAATAAGACCACAACACTGCAGAAATTTCCTTTAAATGACATTTGAGGACATCTCCAAATCATCATAGTATTTACTATCATTTAATAGACGAAGCATAATCAGTACTGTGGGGATAATTGTACATCTCTAGTTGTATTGCAGAGTACTAGTTGACTGAAAAGTGCATTATGTTTAGTATATGGAAGCAATATTTTAAAAAATTACATAAATACCTTTGACAAATTAATTCAGATCAAGCACAGAAATATTACTGTGAAATATTACTGAGCTTCAGTCTGTTTTCAGAGGTCTACATAAGCTTTTTGTGGCTTTTTGTCATGATGTTGTTTCAGTGCAGTAGACCCACGACAGCAACATCCTCCATTGCATTATTGAAGAGCCTTGTCTAACTGCAGTCACAAGCTCCTGTCCCGAGTGCTTATGAAAGTCTTTTCCACACAGTTTCTGGATGTCATGATGTTTTTTATTGAAATTAAGTGATTAGGAAAAGGAAGCCTTTCATGATCAAAATGTCAACATTTATACTGAGCGCTGTGAAATTTTGGCTTTACATATAAAACACTTTAGCATACATTCTTTTGAAAAATGGTCTTTCAGCCCACTTTAAAGCCATTGTTTCCACACAAACCATGTTTGAAAATTAATATTTCACAAACTAAATGTAAGCGCCTAAAATTTTCCCTGATCTTTCTTGCCATCAAAATAAATCAAGAGCTGTTTTGGGACCATTACATTAAAAATGTTCAATAGTTTAACAGTTTAAATTGATAAAAAACATTTAGATGATATATAGTTACATTTTACAAAATTGCTAAATAAAGCACAAAATACTTTATAGCATGAAATCAATAATCCCAAAAATGAAAAAAAAAAAGTCATTCAACTTTCATGCTGCACTGCTCAAATATGAAAAATTGTATTAAAAAATTGTACTTAAAAACAATATTGGTAGATTGTGCTATCCAAATAGATCAAAATTCTGGAGTTTCCAGTTTGTACTTTCATGATAATTGAGAAAATAATTTCGTTAAATAATTCTCATGACCTACAATTAAGTAAAAAATTAAGTGCAATCATGGTCCTATCACATTAGTCTTATTTTTATTCTTGTGAGCCTCTTTTATGACAAATATGATCAAAAAATGTTATTCTTTTATTTGTTTAAGGGAAATATAACTGTCACTCAATAACAATACTAATGTTTAGCAGCTATGAGCTTATGTAATATTTACATGTTCATAATCATAGTTATTATTATAATAACTTGTTTAAACTACAACAAATTCTTAGTTGTTAGTTCTTAGTTTTACGTGTATGTGTAAACAATGGACGGATGCTACTTATGTTAACTAAAAAACTCGGTTGTGACCCCCAAATAATTTTAAAAAACAAACAAACAAATAATAGCAATAATTGTTGAAGTTGATTCAATTTAAAATCCTAATGAAGAAAAAATAATGATGCAAACTCTATTTACAAACCAATTTAATTTAATTTCCTCCAAAATTCCTCACACATCAGGTGATGCTTCTGAAGACTTTTCATATTGTTACATTTCAGCTATCGTATTTGGTAATGTAAAATGGAATTTGTAATAGATTTTTACATTATGTGGTCTGAACATTTGAATGAATCAGTGGAGGTTTGCATGCACAGCCGCACAAGCTTGCAACATTCCTAAAAGTTTTTTCAGTGCTCAATTTCAATAAAATTTTCACGTTATTAAATAGATACAATGTGGAGTTTTACCACTGATGTAATTTACTTTGGTAAAACTCAGTTCAAACAAAAATGTGACTTATGTCGGCGTCACATCTTGCTGTGAATACTTATATTAATCAACTATAACCAATGTGAAAAAGAGAATTCTTTCATAAGAAATCATGGAAGTTGTAAATCTCTAAAGAGAGCACAGTTTATATGGGAGGGTCACGAGAAAGCCTCACAGTGTCATCAAGGGTGTGTCACAAGTGAAATTTAAACTTTCCACTTATTTGCATTATATTATAACAGCAACCTCAGAGAGAAAGGAACACACAGTGACGAGCAGCTGTTCATGTTTGGTAACTCAAGAAGTGTGGTAAGTTTTTATCTATCTATCTACATATATACAACTTTCTTTTTGAATTTGCTGTAGTAATAGATTTTTATATTAAGGTATAAACATTAACACGAGGCCCTTAACTAAATGCAAAAATATAGAGGAGATTTTTATATTATATATTTAAAGCTAGTTAGTTAGTGTCAGGTTAAACATTCAAGAAAACAAGACACAAAACATTTTGTGGTATGTTTAAATACCTGTAAGAATTTCGGTCCTTTCTAATCGCTTTGTTTTTTAACCACTCTCATTCTAACAGTGAATGTTGTATATTTATTATAGCTTTCAATTTATAAATTCTACTGAACTTCTTTTCTCCACAGTTAATCAAAGTGAACATGGATGTGTTTGTAGTCCTTCTCATGCTTTCAGGTAATATTTCAGGAGTGTGCTGTTTGTTAAATTCTTGTTCAGTATGTAATTATAATTATAATTCACAGTTCTTTTCCAAATAGAAATTGTTTCTACCTTGATTTTTTTTTAAAGAGAGGTAATAACTGACCAAATATTGCATAGAGTTTTATGAAATGATATTTGAAGACCGCTGTTGCTCCAACATTATGACTATAATTAAATGAATAAAAAGTAAGGAATTAACTAAATGTAAAAATAAATAAATAATAATACAACACAGGGACAGAAAAGTTGTAGACTGAAATTTTGGCTTAATATATTTATTATTCATATATCTACAACT